GTCATAAATAACCTCAGACGAAGCTAATGGATATTTACCTTCTAATAGTGAATTATAAAAGCGACCCCTCGCGTTTTTCGCTAATGGAAAAAATAATTAATGTAAAAAAATAGTAAGTCGTCAAATACGAGAAAGAGAAAGAACAAAAGAGAGAGAGAGAGAGAGAGAGGGGGGGGGAAGAGAGAGAGAGAGAGAGAGAGAGAGAGAGAGAGAGAGAGAGAGAGAGAGAGCAGGAGAGAGGAATTTGGCAGGGAATTTTCTATCCAAAAAGTCACTCACTTTCTTCTTCATTTTTCGTTCTTGGACGTTAGAAATGTTGTCATTGGACAAACTTCAGAAGCGGATTCATACCTGAAGAATGCCTCTGTATTAAGCGAGTTCTTCTCCCGCGCGTTCTCTCTTCTGCCCACAACGGTCACTTGCGCGAGTCTGCCCCTAATTAAGCGCGAGCCGTCCCGAAGCCGATCTCACCCGAGGAAAATCGCGATCTCCCCCGAGAGATCGGGATTTTCCGAGAAGGGGAAGCAGCTCGGTCGCTTGAGCGTCGTTTAAAACCGGCTGCTTGAAATCGAATTGTCCGTGGGAAGGACTGAGGCTCGTCAAGCCCGGGATCCGCAATTTGGCGTAGGTTTCATCGGGGGTACGTCGGCGTTATCGGCTCCGACGATTCCCTCGTTAGACGTAAATAACCGCGTCTGCGACTTATCGCCGAGATCGATCGTGAGTTGCAGTCGCAAGCGCAATTATTGTTCGCAGCAAAACAGCGGGATATAAACGGCGTCCCGGTCCCTTACGCAGTCGCGCGCGCGCGCTCGTCTATACCGGGTGATAACTAATTCCCGACGAACTCGACTAAGCCTTTGCTTTCCGCGTGCGCGCGCGCGCACGCGCGCGCCGGTTCCTCCGCGTAATTAGAAGGGACAAACTCTGAGGTAGGCGAGCCTGTCTTCCGCTAATTTGCATTGGTTTAACAGCTAGTTTCAGACTGCTCAGCGTCGCGTTACGTGGCCGTCCTCTAATTTGGAAAGGCAGCAAATGAGAACATCGCGAGAACACATACCTCGGAGCATCCATTTCCTTTTCTCCTTTCTTTTCTACCTTTGTTTCCAAACTCCCTTCTCGTCGCACGCGTTCGCACCCATCCTCGGGATCTCTCTCGGTCTCAACTCGGTTTCGGTCCAGCGAACGCGTTCGCTTTCGGTTTCGAATTGTCTTTTTATTTAAAACCCCGTGTTTATGGGAACGCAGCCGCGAGACGTAAACAAAATTCGCGTCAGTGTTCGATACATTAGTAAATCAACAGTAACAAACATCTTTAAATAGAGACTATTCTTCTCATTGTCGTGCAATCTGACAGGAACGTAAATAAATCCTTCCTTGCTCGATACGAAATCAACCGCATTCGCGCGCATTGAGTCGTAAATTGTTATTCTCAGTCCACAATCCGTAATTATTCATTGTGCTTATGCGATTGCAAATAGTAATTATTATTTTAGCGCCCGGCGGCTATATATAGATATTTCGTTGGCTCTTGGAATATTTCATTAGATTTCCGTCGGCGATCATTTCGCGCTATTTGACGCACGTTTCCGCACATTCTCCGTTCAAATTGTATTACTGTAACTCCTGAAAGATCGCGCTGTATCGGTCAATATTGAGTTGAAACAACCCCGCGAAAGAGCAATTCGATAAATATTTACCGTAAGCGAATATATTGAAAAAAGAAAACTATGAAATACACGCGGAAATTAAATGAAAAAATGTATCGTGTAAAGTTATCGCGTATTAACTGTGTGCAATCAATGGAAGAAAGGCTGCGCTCCTTTTATCCTGACGCATTTCAGAACGCATCCTGCATCCGACAGGAGAAATTGTTCTCTGGCATTTATCGAGAGATAAATTTTCCTGTTGGATACTGCTTGCGTTCTGAAATTCATCGAGTTCGAAATGTCGCAATTTGTCTTCCATTGAACGTACTTAACAAAACATAATGAACGAAACAGTCGAATAATCGGGTAATGGTCCCTGAACACGAATCTATAATTAGATATGTTCTCAATCGAAGATCGTGAATCATTTGCAAGTATGAATACCGCGCGTAGAATTCGGCATTAATCTCGCGAGTGCTGTTTTCGAAGCCTAAACCCGGTGTTCGATTTAGCGAATGATTACTTGTCCTTTCAGTTCCGAGATAATCCTTATTTAACGCACATTGCAGAGAAGGGAGAGAAAAAGAGAAAGAGAGAGAGGGGGGGGAGAGAGAGAGAGAGAGAGAGAGAGAGAGAGAGAGAGAGAGAGAGAGAGAGAGAGGAAATTTGCGAAATATATTGATATTTGCGAAAAATTTGAGAAATATATATTCACGTCGATTTTCAACGTGGTATTAATTAATCGGTAATGAACGTCTTTAAATAGAAATTATCTTCCTCGTTATGGTGTAACCATATTATTGCTTACCGCGGAGATGTAGGAACATAAATAATCGCTGGTGCATTCCGCTGCAACGAAATTAACCTCATTGGTGCGCAATGAGTCGTAAATTGTTATTCTCGGCCGATAATCCATAATTATTCATTATGCTCATGCAACTGTAAATAGTAATTATTAATTTAACCCAGCAGCGGGGCTTTTTGTGCACATTCGACCGAATGACACTTCGCATTTGTTCAAATTATTGGCCGATTCATGGAAGCACACCTTTGGCAATAATAATCATCGTAGTAATAAACATACAAAATATTACGTCGAGATTGAAAGGGAATGAAAGGAAGACTGAAAGGGAGACTGATAAGAGAACGGCAAGATCCACGATTTGAACGTTCGAAGAATTAGAAAACTTTGCGAATGCACCAAAAAAATCTCGACATATATAATTACTTTTCCTTTTTGTTGTACAAATTTATTCTGACAAAATAAGTCGATTCTCATAAATCTGAGTTGTTTTAAAAGAAGATGAAATGTAAACTGTTTCGAGAGCAAAATTTCTTCAAACCGCAGGGGATATCTTACACAAACAATCTTTGCTTTATATTATTTTTCGTACAGCTTTCATGAATCTCTCGAGCGTTCTTAGACAAATTAATGATTTGTAATAATTGCCAAAAAAGGAATGAGAGATAAATTGCAAGTAATGAATATAAAAGAAGAGAGATGTTGCGCCGGCTGGCTAAATTAGAGTTTGTTAAAAATGTAATGAGCTACATTTTGGACATAATGAGCGTTCTGCACGGGTTTAACGAGAAGAGTATTTAATTGTGGACTAAACCGCATTTAATTAAAAATATACTGCTGAACTCTTGTGCAGCGTGCGTCCGCGCTGGCCTATTCATCGCAGCAGCTAAGCGTTTGTGCAAGGCGAGACACATAAAATGTTACGAGTTAATATCTCTGCACGCATGATATAATGCAATAAGTTAAATAAGATATATATATATATGAAAGGAACATTTCGAGTGACATTCGTTGATAGATTTAGAAAGGAATAATTTAAGGGAACAATTAAACGTCCGTTCGGAAACTGTCGGCCAGATTGTGGTGGACAATGCGCGCAATTTCAAATTCATCAATATTATTTATCTCTGACACGAACAACGGAGAAAATATCCGATTAATACATTACGATATGATGATTGATATATTTTACGTACCAAACGCATCATCAGATGTGGAAATCGAAATGGAGCCATTTAGTAGACCAATGATTAAAAAAAAGGTGTGCTCTTGGCACAACAAAATGTAATCGTCAAGTTAGTTAGCGAGGCGGTTCGCAAGACGAAAAGCAAAATGGATAATACAGGCAAATTAGTAAAACAGTCGAAGTTTCCGCTTGATAATACCGTCCGACGGATCGTAACGAATGGGGCGCGCGATTTCCGCGCGGGAGTAAAAATCGAGACCGTCGTTGCAATCCATCGCGCAAAATTGACGATCGCGAGCCAGTGCAATTAAATCGCGCGGATCTTGATTCCGCTAATGCACACGACATCGTCACAGACGACACGCCTCGCGGGACAGCCGTCTCTAATTAATCCAACACCCGATATATAGGTATTACGGCCGTGTTGTATCCGCATGTGTTAATCGAATTGTATCCCATGCGTGCAGTGTGTCACCTCGCGCGAACCCCGCGCGATATAGATTCGAGATTTCAAATTACGAATTCTCTTCTCATCCGCGCCGCGATCCCTCTTCCGTGTCGTTGTTGCTCGTAAACGTACAAATGCAGCGTGTACAGGTAGTCGTGCAGAGTAAGAGTCCGCTGGTGTTGCATGCGCCACGATTTCCGGCCCGGTATCGCGTCAAATCCGTACACATCGGGCTAGCATGTAGAGAAAGTGTGAGTGAGAGAGAGAGAGAGAGAGAGAGAGAGAGAGAGTGCGAGAGCGAGAGAGAGAAAGAGAGAGAGAGAGAGAGAGAGAGAGAGAGTGCGAGAGCGAGAGAGGGAGTGGTGTTCGCAGCGTGTTTCCTAGATAGAACACTCCGTAACTTTTTCGTTAAATTAAAAAATTAACCGAACAGGATAGGTTAATTGGAATTAGTTGTTGGTCAAGGATCGCGCTTTTGCGACAGCGAAGATGCCGTCGTTAATAACTAACTAATGTTTCGGAACACATTCCTCTGTGTTATCTGAATTAAGTGATCTAAGTGCGAAGAAAAACTACGAATATCTCTTTTTACTTTTCTAGATGCAATTCATGGCAGCTGTTACAGGCGGAAGAGAAAAAACGGCGTTGAGGAATGTCGGACGAGGATATTATTTTAACATTTCACGTTAAGAAACCATCTCGTCTGGTGAGAAGTTTCGACAACGAGACTGCAGGTTTACGTAAGAGGACAAACATTTGATATTTGCGATCGATACTCGCGAGCTTCATATGTTGTTTCTCACGATCGTATAACATCATTTCACTCGCCAGGAAACGATAGCTTAAAAAAGAAATATTAGAGATACATAACCTAAACTAAAAAAAAACAATCATATCAATACGTGGCACATTTGAATACAAAAGTCGGTATCGAATCTGACGCGCGCGCTCGCAACCGATTACAACATTCTCCCCAGACAATTCCCCATTTTGCTCGGTGATTGAACCATCATGAAAATACATTCAGAGATACCTGGGGGCTGGATTTCTCCAACTAAAGGCCCCGGCCGTTTCAACGGCTCGCTGACCGCATCGTTTGACAGCGCGCGCGTCAACGACCGCGCGGTCTGCTACGCTCCGCGGCCGAAGACAAAAAGGCGTCGAGGTGTCGAACAGAAAGCTCTCGCGGCGAGCGCGCCGCGCGATGTGTGCGCGCCTTCGCTTCCGCTTTAATTATGACTATTCAGTAGTGCTCCGTGACTCGCACGTGGATAGCACGCGTCGCGCTGCGTCACGTCGCGTCGCGTTGCGTAGCGTTCCGCCGAGTGGAGCGCGTCGTCGCGACACGCCGGACACGGAGCGGCAATAAAAGTTCGCGCCATCCCCCGCGCGCTGGCTCGCTCGCTCGCTCGTTCGCGATTAAAAAGTGCAAAATATAAATACACCGCGGCGTATTCCGCCGAGCGAAGCTTGCGCGCGCGCGCGCCGGGCTACTTTTTTACAAAAACCGTCGGGCGTCGCGCGACGACGCACTCCCGCGCGCAGCGTCGCGTTGTGCGTTCCTTTTTCCTTATTTTTTTGTCCGAACGAGTTTACATTCGGGCGACACGCGGGCGCGACGCGACGCGACGCGGCCGGTTTTAAATATGCAAGTCGCGCGACGCTGGGCGGCGTCACTTCCGGTCGCGCGTTCCGTGTGCGCGCGCGCGCGCGTATGCTCGCGTATGACGCCGTGTGCGCGCCATTATTGTACATTCGCGAATTAAGCCGGCGCGCGCGTTGGAGAATTGAAGAGATCCGCGAGACAAAGATACGTAGACGCGTTTCGCTTACGAACGAGCTCGCAACCGAGTCGTCACGAAGGGAGAGAGGGAGAGGGAGAGAGACAATGTCGCGGGCTTGCCGAAAATTCGGGAGCGTAGCTTCGTACAAGGTAAAATATCTCCCCGCGAATATAATGCCGGCGGTGCACAAAAAGCAGCTACGTTCTCTGTAGACGTAATATTGTTTGCGGAACGGTTGCTGGTTGCGCCGATCGAGGAACGCTCGCAGAACGTTCAAACGGTGTCGATGGCTGGCAAAACCCTCCGCAGTCGTCATTACGATCGCCGAAAAGTAGACGCGTTTTCGACGGACATAACCTCTTTTTTTTTTTCGCCGAGCGACGCCCGCGGAACGTACAGTCGATCGAGAAACTTCCAGGCAGAGACTCAAACGGTGCCGATAGATAACGAAATTCGTTATAATCGTTTTATCGTCGGCTATTTTAACCGTTCGAGTTAACAAGGCGATCCGCGCAACTATTCTCGCATCCTGAGCGGCAAAATTGCGCAACAATGCCGAATTATAGAACACAGGGAAGAAACGAGATCGTGCTCCTTGGCGCTCGAACGTAACAGGTTAAAGTAACGGAAGGGCGGCCGAGGAGGGATACGGTAGTTTTGTGTGCAGATAATTTTCACATTAAATGTCGTGCTGGAGGCGTCTCTCTTAATTAGCAGCAGCACGCCATACGTGTTAAGAATCTGATTAACGAGCGGAACGTTGCGGAAAGAGCAATATTGAGGTTCATCAGATAGCGCAACGCGTTTTGTAGACTTTTTATAATTTCTACGATTGGATCGCTCTCGTAGTACTCGTGCGATTGAATACAACCGTGTTATATTTCATTCTGCTTTAATTACTTCTAATAGTCGTATCTGTGTTTATAACCGAAACGTCGACATTTTTATACTAGAACTTCCAGCTTGAATCAGGCTCCAAAGTAAGCTATTACACCCACAAAAAAAGTATTCCATTTGTAAAGTGATTTTTCCCACAGTCTCATATTCTAAGCGAAGGCTTTTGCGGAAAAAGGATTCCTCTTTCTATAAAGCGATTAAAGTGAAGCATTCGTCTAAAATTTATTAGATATTATTCCAACTGTTTTCCTCTTATTTCTCCTTTCCTTCTTCTTTTCCTCTTATTTCGAGAGAATTTCCTCTTATATCAATTAATTTTTCTCTTATGTGTTGATTTGAAGGTCGGCTTCTTTCGTTCAATCATGCTCTACCTGCGGACATGAACGAAAAAATAGCCACATGCTCAGATGGGTCAGAATATTTCGAGCGCTTTTTAAAAAAGGTATGTGTGTTGCTGTAACATATTACGAAGATAATTTACCCATATTTGGTCAAATACAGTTTATAGATCCATCTTCCAGATCTATCTTTCTGGATTCGTAAGCTTCGTATCTCTGTCAAAGGCGACGGTCGACGGTCGCACGGTATCTTTAGTGTCTTCCAATAAATGCTCGATACTTCTTTACCGCGTCGCGTGTTTTACGCCGGGATTATCGTCATCATCGTTAGTGATCGACATCGTCATCGTCAGTGAAAGGGTAAACGTCTGCATTTAGTTCTGCATCAACATCGCGATAAAACGATCGTCGGAGTTCCTGCGTATTCTTTTGCCCGGCGAGAGTCGCTTGAAACACCTGTGTGTTGAACTTTTGTAGATTTGGAGAACAATTGGCGGACACGCACGAGGGATGCACTTCCGACGGATGCAGATGCAGCACCGGAGGACCCGGTTCGAGCTGAGCGGGGTCGGTTGGAAGGTTTCACCGACTACCTCTATATTCCTCTGTTTAACTCCTTCCCCCTCCCCCTCCTCCTCTCTCCTCCTCCTCCTCCTCCTCCGTTCTGCCGTGCGGACGAAAGACGAGGACGAAGCCGTCAGCACGAGACTCGAATTACGACCGTAAAGGGCTAATTTAGCGGTATCTATGCGAGAGCTTGTTCGTTAAGCCGAATCCCTAATTCTAACTGGCAAAACTGTATTCTTTGTTCCAGATCCGGCCGTGGCCGAGCCTGAAGCTACTTCACCGGGTGAGTAAGAAATGGGCAAAAAATTCGAGATGGTGGGTTCCTCTTGGCCGGAGCGAGTTTAAGGTGGTGGGTTTCGTTGCCGTGAGAATTAGTGCGATTTGCATTGCTTGATTTGATTTTCGCTGATTCACCCGCTCGTACGCGGGTGAATCAGCGTGTGCGAACACGAACCGTTGAACGAAGCTCGTGGTGCGAATCGCGTCTCTTTGTCGATTTCACAAACGGGAGACTCGATACCCCCTATGGATTCTCGCGTTACTTCCTTACTTAATGATTTTTATGAGTTCTCTGATATTCACGCGTGCACTTGATCGTGGTGCGTCGCGTCGCGTTGACACAAAAATGCTGATCCCTGAAATTGTTTGATGTTACGTAATTAATTATAATTAGCATGGAGTCCCTCATCGTTACACTTTACATAAAAATAACTTTCGCATAAGCGAGCTTTGTTGTATAATCATGAAGGAGGGGATTTCTCAAAGAAGTCATGTATGTTTTTACATAGAAATTACTTTCAGGTGGAGCATAATTATGAGGGGATAATTTGCCGTATAATTATAATAAAGAGAGAAATCTGACGCACACACAGAGAAGTCGCGTACGTGAATAAAGAATAAAAGATAACTCGATGTCTTACCGATCATCGTACTTGAGACTTGTCATTGTTATTGACGTTGTTATTATTAATGTATACCACTACTTCGCTCGACGACTTAGTTCTCTCACAATGGTACGAGTACCGTCGAATGAAATATGACCTTTTAATTCTGCAAGATACGTCGGCGGGAACCGAAAATTGCTCGCCGCCGCACGTGACACTCGCGGTAATCTCGTTCGTGTTAATCGATTTTCCGATCGTCGGCAGTCTTCTCCAGTTTTCTCACTCACGGAGAAACAAAGAGATTTCGCGACAGAGCCGCGATTGTTCGTTGCTCGCGCGTATAATTGTTCGCGATACGGAACTCGAATCATATTCTTCTGTCGCATTTCGGGAAATTGCGACACTTTTAAAACTTTTAAATGACTTTTCAACAATCCTCACTTTACGACCGCATCTTTGCATTCTGTGTAAATAAATCGATACTTGCAACACCGACGAGAGAGAACCGATCGACGAGAGAGAATATCGGAAAGATACTTTTAGTTCGCTCACACAATCTATAATCATCCAATTGTTTCGACAATCATATGATTGATTTTACATACGCAAAACATCTCATTTTCTCGCCAGAGAATAAGTAATAAAAACAATCGACGATGTTGCAAAGAGATATCGATACTATATTATATCGCGATAACAAAGTATCACGTGTAAAACAGCAGCGGATCGTATTGTAATTATCGAATTATGCATAAAAACAACGCAAAAGAGTGGAATTATAAGACGCGGATTATTTTATAAATCTTCGCGTAATGCGCACGCAGACACGCACATTGTAAATGATCGCGCGACAATTTTCTATGAAATCTGCTTCGTTCGTCGTACTTCTCTCGGTATAGGTTCGACAATTGCGGCGATATTTCGGTAGCCACGACTCGCGGCGAGCCGATTATAACCCGTTTGTTATGTTTACACATTCCCGTCGCGATTACGTCGCGTCGGAAACGCGCGCGGAGGATTTTCACAGGCGGCCGCGATCATTCCGCTTACACGCGCGGGTTAATACATTTAGCGATCGTTGCGATTATTAATTCGCGATTTTTTACGCAACGCGCAATTCACGCGGCCGGCGCGGCGATATAAATTTCACGATACGGTCGCGATTTTATTTCTCGCTCGTGCTCGTACGCGTTGATAAATTCGGGGCGATCGCCGCGCGAGCGCAATTTTTTACGTCGTATTTACGTTCTCGCGTCGCGCGGCTCCGTTCTTCGGGCACGGCACGGATCGTTCGTTAAGCTTAAATTCGCAGAAGGGATATCCCGAAGGTGAATTTCCCGCATAGAGCCGCGGAGGAGGAGGCGGCGAGAGAAAGACACGGTTTCTTCGCGAAAATATCGCGCGGTTGTCTCCGCGTGAAAGTATTGCGGCGTGTGCAATCTTCGCGCGAACGCTCCTCCGCGCTCTACGAGACTTCGCCCGAGCGTTGCCAGGAATGATCTTCGCTTCGCGTCTATATATCGCGAAATAATCTTCACCGAGGCAAAGCCGAGGAGCAGCCGTGAACGCGTGAGAATTTTGCGCCGTCCGCGATTATTTTCCGAGCGCGCGCGCGCATGTTCTCGCTGATAGATTCATTCCGCGATCGACTTGAGCTCGTGATTTTCTTTCGTTTTTCTCCCTCACGCAGACAGTGTCGCGAGCGCTTATCGCTCGCGAAGCTGGATTCGCGGTTTTCGTCGTTGACTTCGCGCCGCGAGTGCATCCGAACGACACGATTGGTTGTAACGTGTTGCAACGTCGAATTGCACGGTCAAATTATCCGGTGGAATTATCGCGACGCCTTTTTTCGAAGAGTTCCGAATAATCCACGGTCTACTACGATTCGCGATATTTTTGCTACGAACAATTCGCGAGACTAGGTACGTTTTCTCGGAAGTTTTCAGCAGCCGGAACTTATCTATATCGCGGAAATTATCTATATCGCGATGATGACGTTCGTTAAACGAATTCGTAGTTTCCGCTGCGCGATATATCGACGGCACCGAGATGAGAGATATTATTAATACAATTGCAAAAACGTAACTTTTCAGTAAAGCGATTCGTAGTTTTTTTCTCTCCGCCGGGAGAATTTTAATTTTTGTAAAATTAAACCATTCTAATTGAATAGTGCAACCGAGTGACTCAATTAAATTTTTTACCCATCGGTTGAAATGGGGCGAATGTTAAATAAGTGTAAAAATATACACGTGCTGCAGCTACGATGTTTCTTTTCTCTCTTGTCGATTTGAAAATGCAATTACGAGTATTTCTCATCGATGCGGTCGAATTATTATTCGTCACGGTGTTAAACACCGTTAAAACGTGAATATTAATCGCGTCGCGAGTGAGCGACATGGAGTGAAGTGCCATCTACGTGGAGTGACGTGGAACAACGCCGGTCGCAGGCTGGGCGAAGTTCCGGATGCGGTGAGGATACATGTTTGAGATGCAACGGTGAGTTTCGTCGTTGGACTTCGGCGAGCTTTTTCCACGCGGAATGGTGAGTGGTTTAATCTCAACACTGATAAAGTATATTCACCATTTGTATGCGTGTAGACGTAAATTGCACTGATTTCCGACGAGGAAAGCAAGAGCGATTACGTGCTGCCCTTTGAGGCTCTCCAGAATTTTCGAGATACATTTCAATGTCGGAGCTGTTTTCCATGCAACCACTAGTTCGATCCCTCAAGCTCGGGCATACGAATTAACTCGTTCAACGGATTTTAATTTCACTTACTGTACCGTCCTTACATTTTATGCACATTATACGCAAGAGAAAAAGAGGATCAGTCTCAGATTTTCGATAAAAATCTTACGAAGGTCTTTTTCCCGAGACTTTCAAAATTCGTCGGTATTTGCAAAGTTAGCGCAGAACCGACATTTCGACTCGGTTCAATAAGACAACGTCAGCACGTAACAGCTTTTGCGAAAATAACTATTACTTGTCTTATAAGAATACTTTTTCTCTCTGCTTCGTTTGAATTCTATTCATATGTGCTATATTTATTGAAATAATTTCGTCGCTCTCTACTGCACGACGCTATAACATTTAGTTAATCGATATTTCTCCTATTTTAATCTCTATCCATCGATTCTGGTACCGCGTCCCCGCAATTGACACATGAATATCGGGCCGCGCTAAGCTGATGGTTTTCGGTTAAAACGCGTTGTTGTGAAAAGGTTAACAGAAATCCCGCACTTGCTGTCCGTTGTTAATTTGTCGAGCGCTCCTGCGGATACGCCGCGTGTACATTTTCAACGTCGATCGCGCCGTACGTGTGCGGTGGCGAAATCGATGAATTAACCTTACGATACTGATTATACCTGATTATCTGTGGAAAGTTCGAGACATTCACCTGTCATAGTAGTAGTCCCTGAAACACATAAGAGATCAATTATTGATTTTCGACAAGTGCTCGACATTCAATCTGCAATAAATATATCATTAATATATTCGATATATTATATAACATATTAATTAGGGCTCGCCAAAATTGCGCCAATCACGATTGACGATGAGACGAGCAAGTGAATGAAAGTGACATGTTTATTTTTTCTTCTCTTTCTTTTAAGCAATATTTTGCTCACACAAGATTGACATATTTGGAAGAAATACCTGATAGAAAATATTTCTCTAACGATTTTCTTGACATTTAACATTTTAACGACATTTAACATTTTTGTGGTATATCGGCTTTACCCACTTGCCCTCTCATTTGGAAAAATCAACATCGATAAAAGCAGATTTTTATGCAATCCCGTGTTTACGAATATTAAATAACGTTCATTTCGTTTTCGCGCAGATTTTTACGAATATTGTTTGCTAAATATAATAGGAGAAAAAATGTGATGGATAAAGAAAGAAGGCGGATTAATATTCTCTCAAAGTGAATCAGTGAAACTCACTGTCAATCAGTGCATATAATCGCTGATTGACCGTGAGTTTCACTGATTCACTTTGAGAGAGTAGTTTCACATTTTTTTCTCGAATTCTCCATGGGTACGTAACACAAAGTCCGTGTTTTGAATTATTTAATCTCTTCTGGAGGTGGATTTATTAGGGTCGGAGGGAAACGATATTATTAGGAAATAACGTAAACGACATCTGACATCACGACCGCCGACAACGCGGCGAGATTTCTTTTTTCCTATGAAGGAGAATTTCGTAGTGATATGTCTTCGTTATTTTTTCTTCTTCTTAATAACTTCTTAATAATTCTAAATAGAAGAGAAAACCAAACATCTTTCTCTGCATATTATATGTGGTAGCATATACGGCAAGTTTTAGTTCGATATAGTTTTTGATGCAGCCGCGCCAAGATTTTTTGTATTAAATATTTTTCATTGCATTGTTATAATAACTAATTTATTATAATAACAAGTAAAATAACCATAAGACTCAGTGTTCTAGGAAATAATGAAAACACTGTTTTTGAAGTACCGGACTGTGTATCATTGGGAGTTTTCGATACATTTATCCTCAGATTGCAAATCACTCTCATTTGCAGAGTTGAGTAAAGTTTTTCAGTTGATGCTATTGTTTTGTTATATCATCTTTTTGTAGAACAGTTTTGTACAGTTTTATTTATAGTATTCAATAGAAGAATTTATTGTTAGAGGTATAAGTTTTACTTGTACAAACTTATTACTTATATAACGAAAATAATAAATTACATTGCCCAAAGATACACGCTCAGGTTTTAGTGCTGTGCGATACGACGCACAGCACTAAAACCGTAAACATTGCCGTTTATCTTGAATAAAGAATTAATTATATCATAATCATATATATATGTTAGGTTTCTCAGTTGGCGTTACGATTTTAATATATCATTTCTTTTGTAAAGTAGAACAGTGTTGTAGAATTTTATTATAGTTACAAGTTTCACTTATAAAATTTTATGTTGCATATATAACTTGAAAAAAAAATAATTTGCGATTTATAATATAACACAATACGTGTTACGCGTGTACTTGGCGCCTCTTTTTACCTTTTTGTTTGAAAAGGTAAGTTTTACATACAACGTTACGGGCTCTCTGAGACGCGTCCCGGCGGGACAAGGTCGCGCGACTTTGAAAACAACATGTTTATAAGTACGCAATAGCCGCGACCGCCTCCATTATTGTTTATGCCGCGGCGGCGAGCGGATCGGCGGATCACGGCGCGTAATAATTTCCGAATTTTCACGCTCGATCACAGTGTACGCGTGCGTGTAACGTGTAATATTCGTGCGTGCATGCGTGCGTGTGTGTGTGTGTGTGTGTGCGCGCGCGCGCGTGACAACCCGGAGCATTTTGAGCAATAGCAGTGTTTCATGGTCTTTAAAGGTAAACTTTTATTGGTTAACTCGGTTAAGTTGAAGAAGCTAATTTGTAATCTCGAGTCTTCGTACTCTTGATGCGGAGCGCATTTGTCGCTATAATACTGATGAAAAAACTCGCTTTTTGTTACAGATCTGCTGGAGTTTGCGGCCACGTGATAGCTGCGGTACCGGGACGCAGTTTCGACGGACGCCGATGCCGCACCGGAGGATCCGGTTCGGGCCGAGCAGAGTCGGCTTGAAGGTGAGACTTACCGGTCGTTTGTACACTTCTTCATTCATTGCGATCGAAAACCGAGCGATTGGAACAAAAGGCGTTGAATTACGATGGCAAAGAGTCAACGTTTGTATCTGCGCGCGCGCTTCCGCAAACTGAACTCAACCTAACCTAACTTTTAACCTAACGGTTTAACTAACGAAACTATATTTTTTGTTACAGATCCGCAGCAGAACGCGGCTGACTCTGTCTGCTGTATATTGGTGAGTCAGAGAAGAAAAGACATTTTTATGGTGATGGATGTTTGCGATATCTCGAGAAAATCAATGCGATTTAATTATACTTCTTTCACACGTTGCTCGAAATAATCAGGAGATCGTGTTTTTCAATGACCGTATTATACAACAGAATCTTTAAGATATAATATATATTTCTCTCTTTTATATTTGAATTTTATACTCTGAGTCATTAGAAGATACAGATACAAATGCTTTAGTTTGTTATTATATTGAAATCAAGATATGGAATTATATGCTGCGATTCAATCAATATAACTCCTGCTTCGAGTAGTGTGTAATGTTAAAATTTGATCAGAATTGCGCCCTTGCACGTGAAATACACCATTATTTATGTTATTCGGTTTGATAAATTTTATGTCTGTCGAGTTTATCAATTTTTTACATTTTTCACGCGTGTTAGAAGCGATAATATTTCATTTGAAATTACCGATAACTTCGATATGATTCGTTTTTTTACATTACAACTTGAGCCTTAGTCCTTACGAAACAAGACGTGCGTTTCTTTCGAATTACCGTTCGCGAAACAATACATTTACGTTTTTTTTTCTCTTGTCTAAACGTCATAATTTTCATTCGCGATTGATTCTACGCGAATCGCGTCTCACGTATGCATTCTCGGAACGTTGCAATTGATCGTGTTTACTTCTTTTTGGGATAAAAGTCTCATCTCTTGAACGCGACCATATATGCTTCTTTGTTCCTTGCCCATTCCTTTTCCTTAAATCCCATCGAAATGAATGAAAAAGAAAAGATAAACAAAGAGAAAGAAAAAGCGATAAAATATCGTGAAAAAAGAAACTTGTCCTGGATTCTGAGGAGACTGGACATTGGACGGATGCAGAGTCACAGGAGTCATAGGAGTCAACGAAAGTCGGTGAGTGTGCAACGCAAGAGAAACGCTCAGAAAGTGTCATATTTTATAATGCATGCTCATATATAAATCGCATTGGTTTTCGAGCTAGTAAAAAATAGTGCGCGATAATATGCGTTCTCTAATTGCGTATCTAATTTAATAAAAATGTGAATTGCGAGAAGCACTGTTTGCTTCCTCTCTGATCATTGCGGAAATATTTGACGAATGAAAAATCATACTGGTTGCACTGAAGTTGCCTTCTTTTTGCAACACTTTATACGAATATTAATCTGACATTTTGCGCATAATATTTATGCGCAGTGTCAATTTAAGAAAATTTAACGAATCACGGCTACGGCAGTGTCTTCCTCGATCTACACCAACATATTTTTTTCTCATGCTCGTGCTTCGGCCTCGAGCTAGCAAAAATACTAGCGACCGCGTCAATGTGACCTCGGCGATGTTTACATCTCGGTAGGCGCGATTCCGTGCTCGTTGTTTACGTTCGATAATTTTCAACGCGTCCATTTCTTTCCGCGAAGGCGCGTTTGATTAACCGGGCTAGATGGTGTATCGCAATAAGGAGAAGTGCCTGACAGTTCTTATCTCATCTCGTACCACCTGGTTTTACGTCAGCGCGGATGACAATTGAATTGATATAACCTTGTTCAATAACGATCACGCGATATGCGGAAAGCAACACGAAGACGAGAAAAAAGTATTGGCGAATGCGCGCCGACCAAAATATTCCAATGTTATCCAGCAGTCTACAGCGCCGACGATTGGGGCGCTAATGGTGAATCGATTGACGATTATCGGAGCGCGTAATTCGAGCTACAGGCTTCTGCAAAAGGGGACCAAATAATGTTTACTATTGTCTACCTTTCTGCCCTTTGTGCGTACGCACGGTGCAAATCTCAATTTTGCTTTATAAGTCATTACGACTATCGAATTACGCGACATGTAAAAGTGGATGAATAAGCGACAACGCACTGGCCGCGCGTTCTCTCATATCGTTTCAACGAAACAGCCACAAAAAGAGACACACTTGTTATACTCGCGTGTAATAATCACTTCTCGTACATTTGTCATTATTATTCGTTCGTTCTTTCGTATCCGGTTAATACCAAACGCGTTTCCATTGAAAATAACGCGAGTCCTGGCTGTTGGGACCAAATTTGGTTCGTAGGAATTAAAAATTGTGTTTTTTTCTTTTCTCAACCGAGAAATGCGCTTGATCGTACGAAGGAAGAAGATAGATTGAATTAGAGAGAGAGTGACAATATGAACGAGCGCAACGCGTTGTGGCATGAAGGGAACAGAATTTCCAGTCCGAATTTGGCTCGCGAGCAGCGGACATTCCGTTTCCTTTAACTGAACGGCGTTTACGGTTCGCTCATTAATTCGCGCATTAATTCGACCAATATTTTCGTGTGGTAAAATACGTTTTTCACGCAATCACTGTTCGCGCGAATGTATATGTAGATTCGATCGAACGCACGTCGCGAAGGTTTTCCCCGACGAAGGTTACGAAGATCTTCCGACACATTGCTGAGGGGTGGAAGGGTGAGGGGGAGGGTGGAATCGGAAGAACGTATCTTCTGATAATCGAATCGCGTCGAACTTTAATCGAATTCGTCCTACGGAGGAACGCTCCGGTCAATAAATGCTCCATTAGCTGCAGTTTAAACGTGCGATTTCTCGTGGCAAAAAGAACAAAAACGGCGTACGAGACCCTCCGCTACGAAACACTGACAAAATGGTTGCGTTTTAACGGGAAATTGCCAATTACTTCGATTGCGCGCCGTCGGTACGGCGCGCGGTACGCAGATTCGCGAATTTTTCCCTAATAGGTGCCGGCCGCGCCCCTCGGACTGAAATCTCTCGACATTGACGAATTTCGCGATTGCGTTACTGAACGGAGCAATGTGAAATTTAACGGCGTGACAGGCGAAGAACGTCGGACGTAAGACAGACGTCGGACGAACGTCATTGAAACATGAAAGAAATGACATCGCGTTGAATTTGACGGTTTAAGCGTCACTCGAAAAAAATCAAATTGATCTTGAGAAGAAAAAGAAAGACCTTCGGTGAAAGTTACAGTATTCAAACGTGTTTATAGCGACAGTGTAAGAATTTATTTTCAAACGGACGATAGCTCTCCGACGAAATAACAATAAACAGAGCTTATGACGACAAACTTCTCCGACGAAACGTCTCCCATCGCCGATGTTATTTTTCAGCGGTAATCGAAAGTTTAACGATCATTAAACGTCTGTCGTTACACGCCGCATTTGTCGTTCGAAACTTTCCTTCGTAAAATAAGAAACGAGCGGGCTATTCAGGCTGGAAATTTCCAGCGCTGCGCTCCGCATGCGGTTTTCCGCGATCTTATTCGCAACTATTTTCTTATGGTTTCTCGTTCTACCCGTGCCGTACCTCACCCATTTACCTATGCCCGCCACTAATTACCCAAATATATTACGGAGTAATCCTTCCGTCTGATAACACGATGTTTAATAGCGAAAAAAGCGCTATCGAGGGAACCAGATAAAAGGTAAAGGTAACGTTTTCAAATAACGAACGTTAACGTGCGCTGAATGCCGCGTTTCCGGATTTATTGATAAATACTGAGAACGTTAATTAGCTAATTATGCGAAACGCGTTTAAACCCAGAGACAACGTGGAGAAGTAATTTCTAGATTATATACCGATAATACCGATTCAACAGAGTAGTAACGAATAAAATCGCGAAGATAGCGAAGAGGAAAGCAACAGAAATAAAGCAAAGATGAAAGATACAATAAAGATATTGTACAAAATTCAGCGTGTATAAATATATATTCGAGAGAATAGTGAGTGCTCCGTGTGGTGTTCTCGAAATAATAATTCGTAAATCTCGCGAATATAAAATAATACGTGTATTCATTATTTATATATTAAATTGTAGGGGGAGCCGATTTACGCATGTGCGTGTTAAAAAATCGCTATAAAACAAAATATACGAATATCAATTCTCTGTTTCGCGTCGCGGTCATGATGCGTATCGCACTGAACAATGAAGAGTAGATCAAGTTTAGTGAAAATAGCGGTTTAGCGAAGGAAGATGCGAATTAGCGAGAGCGCAGGAACGACCGGGGATGCGGGTGGTCTGTTTGTAAATCCTGCCTTCCATTGTCCGGCATGAAATGTGTCCTGGCCTAAAATCGCACGGAAACCATGAAACGAAAGGGATCCGCGGGAACTCGCGTAATATTATCCCTCCGAAATTTATAAATTTCAACCTGCGCGAACGCGAGCGCTGGAATAAAGCGTGCTTTATATGCACCCGAAGAAGAAAATATCCTCTCCTCGGGGAGAGAGAGAGAGAGGGAGAGACAAAATTATAACAAACGGATTTAAACGTCGGATGAATTCACCGGGACAAAATATCAAGTCAACCACGCGCTCATTCAGATAATAGCTCGATCGATCGAAATATAAATGGTTATTAAGATACAGATGTGGATGGTACAATTTCAGTGACTTTTATAATTCGCTTTCTCATGTAATTTCATCAACGTTGAAAAGAAAAACAAAGAAAGAGAAAAAGAGGGAAATGAGGGAAAACGAGAGCTAGGAAAGGCAAAGAGAGGCGGAAAAAAAGAACGAGAGAATAATTACGATCTTTTACCGTTTCCATTGGCAGCACGATCGTAAAATGCGTGGCCGGCATCCGTCATTGAGCGCATTCACGGGTGCGTCGCGACGCGCCGCGTCGCGTCACAAAAATAGTCGACGGCACGGTCGAAAATCGATCACGCGCGAAAATCGAAAAGGGGAGACACGTCCGGAACACGCGTGCCCGCAGAATAAAAAGGACATCGCCCTAAACGGCCGCATGTATCGAAAAATGGCGTCGCAATTAGGATGTCGGGCGTCGCCCCTTTGTTATTTAAAAATGTCTATAGTGTCGGTGTGGTTTGACATTCCCTCTCTCTTTTCCTCTCTGTTTCTCTCTTTCTCTCTCTCTCTCTCTCTCTCCCGTTTTTTTTTCACTCGCCCACTGGTGACCTTTCGCCGATCACGTGCCCCGACGTTTCTTCCCGTTCCATTTTTATTGAACCGTTTTA